ATACCTATGTTAACGTTTCTATTTAACATTTTATGCAGATGTTCCTATTTTTTTTTTTTTTGCAATTTTAAGTTTAAAAGGAATTTGTCCACCGATTAGATAAGTGTTCAAGATTTTTGAGGATAACATTCAGTGCTATAAAATTCAGGAAAATAGAACATGAAACCTTTTCAGAACACATCATCTATCTCTCCCTTTTGTTACTCAAATACCCTTCCAAAGGGACTATTTTTTTTTCTCGAAAATCTTTGAAGAATTCAAGAATTCAGAATAAAATCCAAATGCAATGAACTATCAAAAGCGCACGAAACAAAATCGAACAAAAACCGTCATCCATTGATCACGTTTCTAAAGGGGTAAAGTTCGATTCTGCGTGCACGAATCGTAGAACCGTGGCGAATGTAACGTACCATTTTTATCTAGAATTTTTCGATCTCGCTAGGCGAGGTACAACTCGCGATAGCGGAAAATGAATGCCACGGCGAGTAAGTGTATTCCCGTGTACCAAGGACGAGGGTGTAAGTCACTCGACCTCACGCGACTACGCGGACCTGCACGAATCGCTCGAGTACCCTAACCTCCATATCAAGAATCTATCAATTCGTATCTGCCATAAGAATCGTTGGCAGAAAATGCACTCGTCAAATGAGTCATTGTAAAAAAATTTTTGAATGACAAAATACTTGCTGCCAGAAGTAAAGATAGCGAATGTGTCATGTGGTATCACAAGCAATGTTAGTTCACATATGTTGAACTAACATACTGTATAGACTTATATACTATATACACAATATACTCTACATAGACTTGGCTATATTTGAACATCATCACGTACATCACGTAATTTCACGTGACGCCATACCTGTGCATGAAGATATGTGACCTTTAAAGAGACAGCATCAATATTTATGTATTACAATTATTCTCATGTATATACAATTATTTTCAAAGTATGTTAACACTTGTGAATGCTTGCACCAAAAAGTGTTTTTGTAAATGCGTACAATTTAAGCGATGACAGCCCAGTAGTATAAAAAAATAACAGTTACATCAAAAAATCATTGATTCAAATATTGTATCAAAAATCGTACACCAAAAACTCGCTATTAAATTAAAAAATAGCTTGTAACCATAAACCGAACAAATCTCTCCGAAAAGAGTACAGATCGTTATCAATATGCACGGAACGCAATCGTTATCAGGAAATCGAATTCACAGGATTCGCAATAAAACGCGTAATTTAATTGGTACAATGGAACGAAATTAAACAATGCGTGGACGTCACCGATGAAATCAAACGTACCTCGATGCATGCACCCGACGCAAAACTCGAAACGGATAATCATCGCGATATATTTGCGAACGACATCGCAGCGGGGAATTTTTCGCGACAAATCGCGTAACGGAAATGACGGGAGCGTTTTACCTAGTTCTTATTCGTGGAGAGAACGATGGAAGGACCGTTCGAACGGTCTAATCACCGGATTACGTGGTACGAGGTCGCGATACAGAATCACGATAAAAAGTCTGGTCTTGGTAGGTGTTCTTGCGAACAGAACCCCGTCGATTCGACGAGCACGTTCAGGATGTGGAATTAGTGCCACGGTGCGCGTGACCGAACGGTCAACCAATCGAAACTAAATGAAAATGACGGGAGAAAATGTATGCAACGTGATGTGGTGATAGGGAGTTTTATATTCAAATTTGGAATTTGGGGTGGTGGGAGTTTGGAAGGTTTTCAAGGTTTTATATTTACTGAGGAAATTTGGGAATTTGGTTAGGGTTTGAGGTGGTGGGATTTTGGAAGGTTGAAGGTTTCAAGGTTTTATATTTACTGAGGAAATTTGGGAATTTGGAGATGTAGGTAATTTGGGGGCGTAGAAATTTGGGGATGTGAGGGTTTAGGGACGTTGGAATTTGGGGATGTAGAAATTCGGGAGCGTAGAAAATTTAAGGATGTTGGAACTTGGAGACGTGGGAATTTGGGGTCGTTGGAATTTGGGGATGTTGGAACTTCGAGACGTGGGAATTTGAGGACGTAGAAAATTAGGGGATATAGGAATTTGGGGGCGTAGAAAATTTAGTGATGTTGGAACTTGGAGACGTGAAAATTTGGGGACGTAGAAAATTAAGGGACGTAGGAATTTTAGAACATTAGAATTTGGAGTCGTAGCAATTTGTGGACATAAGAATTTGGGGATCTAAGCAATTTAGGGACGTAGAGAATTTGAGGTTATTAAAAGTTTAAATGATTGAAGCTAACAAAAAATTGAAGCTAACAATCGACTCCGAATGGCAACTAAATCGCACAAAAGTTTCGCCTTGAAAAAAGAACAAATCCCCTCGATATTCCGTTGATTTCCATGCAACGGCGCATCAAGCCCAGCGCGGATAAGAAGGAATTCGCCGAACAAACAGAACGCATCGGTACAGGCACACGGAATTCAAATATAGGAAGTAGAGACGGTATTCGCGGGTCTAACTTCGCGACGTAGAGAGGCTGTTTGCATGAAAATCCAGCGACCAAGTGAAATCCAGTTAGCGAACTGCCGCGCTCGGAATATTTCGTATTCTCGATTAACAGGGACGAAAACGAACGGCAAAAATAAAGGCCGCTAAAAGAATGAAAAGTGTTCTTTTGACCCGGGCTCGGCTATTTTTAATTCTCTTTACCGGAGCGCCCCCGTAATGACGAGCATTAACCAATTAGCGCCCTCTACCCTTCCTGGCCATTTTCTTTTTTCCCGTCGTTTCTATTTTTTTTTACCGCGGTTCGAGAACCGTTCCAAACGGGCCCGAAAGATGCAACACAGTCCGTCTATTTTCAGCACCCTGATGGCTACCGCGGTTTCGCGAAAGCTTTGAACTCGCCAAAAGCGTATATTATTTCTGCGGTGACGCGACGCTTTCGGATGCTCTTCGAGGAGGGCACGAATCGCTTAACGAAACCGTGAAAGCGCGACGCGAATTATGAATTTCCACGGTAAATGAAAAATTCGTCCACGGTCTTCAACCCTCTGTTAATGTGTATTCAGTATGCTCTTTGAAACGTAAGGCAGCCAATTCCTGGCGACTGGAAACGATCTTTCTGGGGAATTAAGTGATTCCAGACTTTCGATGCAGTTTATTCAATCAGCTATTTCAAGATTACTCGGCTAATTTTTTATCAAACACAATCTCAAAAATAAAACAGCTGCAAACTTTTTTAATGTACGATGTATAACTCACAGAAAAGAAATGATTCCTGCTAATTGTAGTTGTTTATATGTTTTACTTTCAATATTTTTACTAGCAACTTAATGTTTGTCGCTATGATATAAATTATTAAAAACAAAGTTACTTAACCTTTCAATTTTATTTTTTAATTTAGTGTACGTCATTGTGTCGACATTAAGAGTCATTCAAATTTTGTTTAACTTTCCTGTAAATAATTAAACTGAATTTGTAGTGCTGGTCACATATGACTATAGGTTATGTTAAAATCTACAGACATTTTGTACGAAATATCTCAATCTTTTTCTTCATAAATTGTCTGAATCTTTTTCGTCATAAAATGTATTTAAACAACGTATAATTTAAATAACTTTGTAATTCTATATGTGCAACATCATCCTTCAACATATAGCCACCTCATGATTTTATATTTTTGATATTACTTTAAGATTTGTTATTCTTGACGTTACCTCATGATGTTACCTTTGAGAACTTATTCTTCACCAATAGAACTTGGTGAATTCATACCAGAATATGATTTTATTGCCAGAATTTAATATAGTGACCACTCTATGCGTTACTAAATCTGACTTTACCTAAAATTTTGCAAACTTCGCGAGTGACCATAAGAAATAATGGAGTGCAAGAGTGACCGCCAAAAGAAGTACAAGTTTGAGAAAAAAATTGGAATATTGAAAGGATGAATTATAATCTGGTCGTATTTTACGATATCTGTAGAACGTTTTCCAATATTGGTAATGGTGAAAATTATTTATGCGCGCGATGTCGACATAGATATTAGAAGATGGCTGGGAAATATCGCGACGAGAACGAACGTCTTTTCTATATTCAATTCGAATCAACAATTTTCGGCCTCACAAAAGATATTGCGAACGAAATTGAAATTCGATTTCGTGTTGTCCGTGAAATACCTATCGGCCGCATAAATCCGTACGTTATATCTATGCATGTATTTCGATTAAACACGGAACTCCGGGAAAACCAATAAAAATCCGGGCGACGTTATGGAAAACGATCGTGAACGTTTTCGTTTTAATTTAACTTCAAAATACGTGTATAAATTCTTGCTTGGATTCCGCGCATAAAGCAGCTTATTAAAATCGCTTTCCTTCTGACATACAAACATATAATTTCATGACAATCTGTATAGGAGCAACATATTTGCTTTAGATAGGTACAAGTGAAATTCAATTTTGGGAATTAAATATGTAAATTTAATATTTACACTTCACCTCTAATAATATTGTAATATTTTTACTTTAACTTATTTTTTTAAAACTCATTTTAAATTCCTGAATTTTTGGATTCGCTTACTTTGATATTTTTTAAGTCTAACCTACATTTCCTCCATTTTGTTGCGCTTTAAAAATGGAGGATCAAATATCTCACTGTTGCGTGTTATTAATGGCGAAATCAACAGATAGAATTCTTTAAAAGAAAATTTAAAAAATGTCTACTTATACAGTTCTTCATTTTCAATTTCTTAACCGATGAGGTCTTTATACAATTGCTACCACGAATTATTAAATGTAATTGTTAATAAATACCAAGTGTACCATTCAAAAAAACCGGTAGAAATATAGCCTTGTACCATAAAGTAGATTTGAAAATGGTTGCGCCACAATCAATTTCCAGTCAGTTGAAAAATAGTTTAATAGCCTTGTTCGATAAATAACAAGCAAATAACCAGACAGGTTACGCAAGTCGTTTTCATAAATCGGCATCGACATGGCGCGAACAATGGGAATAAATATGGAGTAACTTACCGGTCAGACGCGTGAAGTTGTCCGTAGTCGAAGCGTACACTCCAGAAAAGCACACACGCGCGAACACCAGCGTACAACAGTTAACTAGCCTGTAACGGCCAAGCCGCGATTTTTCTAGAAAGTTAATGTAGATCACGTCGCCGACAGATTACGTCGAAGGACGATTTAACTCGCGCACTGCCCCCTACCCTCCCCCGTGTACAGTCGCAGTTGGAGCCTCGCGTCGACAACAAACACGCGCGCACTGTGTGTATCCACTGTGTTCTTGTGCCGATTGGGAATAGAACCGAACGTTCAATGGCGTCGAATATCCTCGCAAACGGTCCAATTCGAGTGGACGAAGAAATGCTGTGCTATTCGCGAACGGGATCCCGAGTTTCACGTGTCGAAATAATCGTCTTTCAAAGAGGAATCCGGCCGTTTCAAGATGGAGTATCCGGTGAGTTGACAGTTTACGTTTCAAAGTTATGCGATCGATTCTCTCCTTTGGTCAAACTACCGTAAATACGACTGCAAAATTAGAAACAGTCGGTGAGTTGACGGTTATTTCAAATCGTAATGGCGCGCGATCAGTGCTGACAACGTAAAGTTTAAAATCGCGGGTTCGGAAATCGATGAGTGAAGATAAAGAAATATAAGTGTAACTTTTAATGCGTTGCGGTTAAGTGAACGCACGATTACGAGGCAAATATCACTAAATAGATTATAGTTCGAAAAGTTACGTACCGTTTGCACGAACGTCCGGTTTTGTTCCAATCGATGAACGTAAAACACAGAACGGATTAAAAAAAAATGTATAAAAACGAGAGTGGGGTGCGAAACGTCCCGTAGGTGACGCACACACGTATACACCGAAGGAACTAGATGACAGAGGGCGACGCGACGTCCTCACCGATGCGCGGTTCGAGTGCGACTGAGCCAGTCGGAGTCGAGCCGAAAGCCACAAGCCGCGTCAGCCGACCGCCGGCGACGGACCAATCAGGGTTGTCCTCTGCGCAACTACCCGACACATAAGGATTGACCACATGCTCGCTCATTTTACCCTATTCTACTTTCTTGTCTGGCCATTTATTGTTGTTTTCGTTAAGACACTGAAATCTACGCGAATCCCTTGTTTTTTGTCCTCAGGCCATTTATCCTGAAACGGATTCGTAAGATGGATACATTCATATTGTTTCTGATAGAACGACGTTTCTCTAATACGTTTCTGTCGTGATTCGTGATTTATCGTGGAAATACGTGTGCACTGTTTCGATGATAGCTCGATGTAAGATACGAAAATATTCTGACAGATATTTTGATTTCTATTAGTTGGAATTTATATGAAAATTTGTGGACGTTGCTATTCTATTTAGGCGAATGGTCCCGCTGACATGGTGGCTTGACTAATTTTACTATTGTATGCACACTTTATATCGTCATACGTTATTTTGTCACGCGGTGGACAGCTACTTGCTTTTTCGCTATGTCATACGTTATGTTGTCACGCGTTATAGTGCTGCGCGGTAAATTGCTGCGCGTTATATAGCCACGCGCGTTATCGCTCACGTGCTTTATCTGTCATGTATTACATCGTTTATCCATCGCATCGCCTTGTTACATTGCGTTACACCACACGTTTCATTGCCATGAATTACATTGTCTATTGTATAATTGCATTATAAATTTACGAATTATAACACGTTGTAATTCACACGTTATTACCACGTGTTGAATCGTGCATTATAAGACTATGCGTTTGTATTCCCACGTGTTAGCTTCGCCAATTGTATAGTCACGCGTTATATCATCCACGCATTATATGGCTCATACGTTACATTATCCATGTTTTATCGCCCACTATTATTAGTATACTACGTAATACTGTCCACGTTACATCACCCTCGTCATATCGTTCGTGTGCTATATCGTACATGTTATTGTCCATGCGTTATGTTGTCCACGCATTATACGACCCATTTATTATACCACCATCCTTATAATATTTTACAGCCATAATTCACAATACTTTGCATACTCACATGACGCAAAATACGTAGATCAATAATGAATTAAATTGAAACTATTAAACGAAAATGGTTTAATTTCGTTAAACGCTGTAAAGCATTATTTTGGAACTTAAAAATTAGTTATCGAAGAATTTCACCTCGTGCACAAAATGAAAATGCCCTTTTTAATGGATTTTCCTTTCCTCCTAAAAAAAGGTGTGATGTTTAAGTAACCGAATTTCAGCAAACACTTCATTCCTCCAGAATCACAGAGCTCCTCTATGTTTTTTCATGGGTCTGATATTTGCACTTCGCAAACGTACCTCCAGCAGGCAGACATTGATGGATCCCTATGATTCTGTTTCACGAACCATTGGAATTGCAAGTTTTTTCTTGACCTTGGTCTCGAACGTCTGAAGGTGGGTCTTTTCCATGACCCGAGTCTATTGAACCAAAGACTGTACAACGAACGCTAAGACGGCCGATTCAACGGAGAATTAAAATTAATGGTTGTTTGACTGGCACTTCACGAGCGCGATTAACACCCTTCAAAAGGATGCACGAGACGATTAAGCTGGTGTCTTTACACACAATTATTTCAAACGGATAATAACCGTCGCGACGGTGTCGCTCGCGTGTCAGTTATTGGATGAACGTTGTTTCGATTTCGCGTTTCACCAATCAACGAGATTCGATTATTCTTCTTGCCCGTTCCTTTGTGAACGTTTTGTGCCGCACTAGCGAGCATCGTTTTTGCTTTCCGCCTCGGCTAGCCGATAATCCAGTTGCAGGAGCGTTGTCGAGCATCTCGCGATCGAATCGATACCCTGATACGCGGCGTGACGTGTCGTTTATCGTTCTTCGCTCGAGTTTTTCCGGACGCGGGTTACGTGAAAAGCTTTGCTTCCTGGATAAATCTAATATCGTTCTTAGCTGCGCCTCGCGGAAGAATAGGGACGCGGAGTAGCTCGACGGAAATCGTGGCGCTCGAATCCCCGGGGATACCTCGATAGAAAATCCTCTTGCCGGCTCGGGATGCACGTGTGTCTGCGGATTCCGGGATATTCTGTTTTAATAATGTAATCAGAGTACACGTGGTCGATTCGCGACAGTCCGACAATCCGATATCTGCGAAATGGTGATCGGCAATATCTTAGACGATTGCACCGACGCTCCGTAAGTAGATGTAATACCCGCATAATAGGCGCAATGTATTCTTGAAACTTTCTTGCGACGATGGTAAGTCTGGGTACAAAATCGATGTGTCACGATGCAAATCTCGATTCAGGACTCGAGTAATTCTGTCATTGTCAAAGAGAAGCTAGGTAAATCTTCTTTGTGAATGGTAGAGTGGAATAGAATCAAAGATGTGGACTCGAGCAGTCGATATGAGGTCATACTTCGTTCGGATTCTTCAAATTCTACTTTTACTGACGTGGAGATTAAATAATTTTATTCTCTGCTTTTCATTTTTGAAGAATCGTGTATGAGTACATTTATTATTTATAAATTTTGGAGTAAGTATTCTAAGCTAAAACTTAACCTACAAGTTAGAACAGGTAGCATGAGGTGTACTGTTAAATAGGGTAAATTGTATTAATTTCAGCAGTGCATTATACAATAATATATACAATTTTTGCAACTCATAAAAATGACAAATTAAACATTATTATTTGAAGCAGTTTTTTTCAGGTATTTGACTTGTCTTGTGACGTCGAGTCACACTCGTGACGTACAGTTCAAAAATAACAAAAATATATCATATTTATCCTACAACTATATTCTGAGTCCAATACCAGTTACAATTTATGCAATTAAAAATGAAATTCAAAATATATGTAACATTTCAAGATTTTAATTTATTTTAATATTGCAGCAGTGATTAGCTCCAACGCAACTGTCAACAAGGTTGAGCAAAATCAGCAAACTCGAACTTGTGTACTAATACCGTACATAAACACATCGATTCAACAAATTAACTCAAGTTTCGCAACATTGATAAACCAGTTGAAACTTTAATATACAAGTGCGCAAACTATTCCGAAACAGTTACCTTCGCAAATCGATACGTTAGTTTCATTTTCCAAACGGGAAAAAAAAACATAGTAACTAAGTTAACAGTAACGTAGCGGTAGCGGTTACAATCAAACATAGTCGCACACGAACCGGTAAGCGATAAACGCATCGCGAAGTGTACAAACACGTGTACAGTAGTATTTACATTCTGTGCCCACGTACCGTGAGATACAAAGCTGCACAGGCACAGGAATATCGAGGCTGAGGAGGAATCGACAGTACTGTAAATACACGAGGAGAGCTCCGCGTTGATTAGCTGCTCGCTTGTACGCCGTTTCAGTTGGCTCACGCTTGAATTAAATCCGACGGGCCAATCGACAGGCACAATTAACTTCGATCCTTTGTGCATACTCTCGTGAAACAACCCACGGAAAATATCGTGCGTTTCTTCACTACGATTTTCCCTTCGGTCTTTCCGTACTTCGGAACAATAAAAGAACTTTGATACGCTGCAGATTCATTCGTAACTAGGCTTTTCTGTATGGGACTCCCTTATGGTGGTGGACGCTTTATAGGTGGACGCTATAATAGGTGGACGTTATATAGGTGGACGCTATATAGGTGGACGCTATAGAGGGTATCTCGTATATGGAATTTGAAGACATAGGAGTTTTGCAATGGTGAAATTTCGATATGACAGATTAGGGAAATTTTTATATTTGGAGACTTGAAAAATTGGGAAGTGGAAAATTGGGAGGTTGGGAAGTGAGGAATATGGAATTTGGAGCTTTGAGAATTGGGAAATTTGGACATTTGAGAGCGTCGAAATTTGGAAATTTGAGAATTGGAAAATATCGAAATTCGGGAGCGTAGAAATTTGGAAATTCGAGAATTGGAAAATGTCGAAATTCGGGAGCGTAGAAATTTGGAAATTTGAGAATTGGAAAATATCGAAATTCGGGAGCGTAGAAATTTGGAAATTCGAGAATTGGAAAATGTCGAAATTCGGGAGCGTAGACATTTGGAAATTTGAGAATTGGGAAATTTAGAAATTTCAGAGCGTCGAAATTTGAAAACTTGAGAATTGGAAAATATCGAAATTCGGGAGCGTAGAAATTTGGAAATTTGGGAATTGGGAAATTTAGAAATTTAAGAGGGTTAAAATTTAAAAATTTGAGAATTGGAAAATATCGAAATTTGAGAGTGTAGAAATTTGGAAATTTGAGACTTAGGAAATTTGGAAATTTGAGAGCGTCGAAATTCGAAAATTTGAGAATTGCCAAATACCGAAATTTGGGACACAAAAATTCATAACCTTGCGAATTGGAAAATATCAAAATTTTCAAACCCAAAAAATTGAAAACTCCATTTTCCCAATTCAAGAATCTGCAAATTCAAGACCTAAATAATTCTGAATTTTCCCATGAAATTGAATGATATCGATCAGACGAATTACTAATCAGACCTAAGAAGATGATTAGAATTTAGGTCAACCTTGAAAAGCAGTTTCGTCAGCAGGCTTTGAAGCCTATTATCGTCTTACCGCACGTGATTAATGCGAATCACGTAGCACGGAACGAAGTTCCTTTGAT